ATTCTGATACACTTACATAAAGGAAGATCAGCGAAGTCCTGGACAGTTATTTTAAATTCACTGATTTTTTTTAAAGCTAAAAATTCTTTTTAGGGAAAGAGAATTCGTAATGTTGCAAAATGAAGCAGTAATAGTATGTCTGAACCTCAAAACGGCTAGAATCAACTTTTGGAAGTGGACAATACCTAGTCTGGCAAAAATAATGAAGACCAACTCACCCTTTTGTTTATTGAGCTCCTGATCTTGATTCCTAATAGGCAGTGACTAGAATTAAAGAAGGTGACTAATACTTGAAATGACATGGGACTGTTATTTTCAGATAATTTGGTCTTTCTGAAGCTGTAACACTACCAATAAATTGTTTTGCTCCCTGGACAGGCTTGAGAAGGAGAAAGCAGAAATTGAACGCATGCGAAACCTGACTGAGGAAGAGAGGAGAGCTGAGCTTCGGGCAAATGGCAAAGTCATTACCAACAAAGCTGTTAAGGGCAAATATAAGTTCTTACAGAAGTATTATCACAGGGGTGCCTTCTTCATGGTAAGAAGTGAAAAGAGAGTTCAAAAATTGCACAGTAGGAATAACTCAGAGACTTTGAATTATTTTTTCTCCTCCAGAATGTTTTCACTTGCCAGTGGTCAGTGCTATTTCCCTCTGAAGAATATAAACTCAGAGAAAAGCATCAGCAATTGGATTATAGAAGTATAATCAACTCTCTATTGGCCCCAGCTCTCAAAAAGAGGAAATGATATAACAGACTTTTTTTTGTTTGTTTGTTTGTTTTTTTTTTAAGAGACAAAGTCTTACTGTCACCCAGGCTGGAGGTACAGTGGTATGATTATAGTTCACTGCAACCTTGACCTCCTGGGCTCAAACTATACACCTGCTTCAGCCTCCAGAGTAGCTGAGACTATAGGCATGCACCACCATGCCTGGCTAATTTTTTTTTTTTTTTTTTTTTTTTTGCTAATTGCTAGTTTTTCAATCTTTTTGTAGAGACCAGGTCTCACTATATGTTGCTGAGGCTGATCTTGACCTTCTGGCCTCAAGCAATCCTCCCACCACAACCTCCCAAAGTACTAGGATTATAGGCATGAGCCATCATCCTCAGCTTTAGATAAACTGAGGAAATGAAATGGAGAAGTCACCTATATAGATAGTGGACTAATTTGGTCCTCCAAATAACATAGTTGTCATTATTTCATACCTGAATAAGAAGTTTTGGTTATGTGAAAACCAAACTGCAAATAGCTTTACATTAATTCACATTTGGGTGATAAAAGGTTCACTTCATTCTGAACTGACAAAGTACCTAAGCGTAACTAACCAAAAGAATGGTTTATTATCTAACCATTAGGTGGAGTGCCATCATCTTTGTTCTTCATATAAAGTCTAAGGTCAAAATACCAATCTGCTAATCCTGTATGGTTTATGATTTCGTAATGTTAAAGCAGTTTGTATCGAAAACTAGACGAGCTTTTTCAAGTGCTGTGTGGCAAATTCTGAATATCCCCACCGCAACTAAATTCCTGCCCTTCACTTTAGATGTGAGTTTAAAGTCCCAATAAAATATCCAGCTTATATAAAAGGCAGTAGAAAATCCAGGATTGGAGATTGGAGAGGCCTGTGCAGAGGTGAAGTCACATGGGTAAATGAACACACTGAGTGCAGAGAGAATAAGTGAACCTTTGAGACATGTCTATACTTAAGGAGAAAATTAGGCATAGTTGCGTGCACCTGTAGTCCCAGCTACTCAGGCGGCTGAAGTAAGAGCATCACCTGATCCTGGGAGGTCAAGGCTGCAGTGAGCAGTGGTCACACCACTGCACTCCAGCCTGGACATCAGAATGAGACCCCCCATCTCAGGAAGAAAAAAAAAAAAAAGACAATACAACAAAGGAAAAAGAATCTCTTCAACTATAGATGTAAGCTCTTGAAGAAAGGCTCAATACCCTCTGCTTTCTTTGTATACTTCATTGTAAAGTACATTTGTGGTTTGAATATATAGGAAATAAAGCCACAAGATATTGATAAGATTCTTCTCTACAGGATGAGGATGAAGAAGTATACAAGAGAGATTTCAGCGCTCCTACCCTGGAGGATCATTTCAACAAAACCATTCTTCCTAAAGTCATGCAGGTATGGGGAACCTTAATAACATGAAAAGGTAATGTATTGATAGATGAGGTATGGTTTGGTGGTGTAACCATCATATATCTTCCCTCAGGTCAAGAACTTTGGACGCTCAGGTCGCACCAAATATACTCACCTTGTGGATCAAGATACCACCTCCTTCGACTCAGCTTGGGGCCAAGAGAGTGCCCAGAACACAAAGTTCTTCAAACAAAAGGCAGCTGGGGTACGAGATGTATTTGAGCGGCCATCTGCCAAGAAGCGGAAAACTACCTAGGGTCCAACTGCTTATTCTTCCAACTGTGGAACACAAGGGGAAGTCTCAGCATATGGTCCTTGATTTGCTTTTTCATTACCTCCTTGGCCCTTGTATCCAGCTATTGGACCTACTTTTATAATTCTGATACTGGGTAGCCCAGACTTGGAAGGTGCTTTGTGAGGTTTGGACTCATGCTGAGAAACCCACAAGGAAAGCACTGTCCAGGTAGAATTAGAAGCTTTCCGCTTAAAACTATTTCTGAGAAATCTTAGGTTTTATCACTGCTATGGTTTCCCATATTTACTTGGGACTGTTCTGAGTTTTTTTCCAGCCCTTAGCTTGGGTTAGAAAAGTGGGCATGTCAGTGAAGAATGCATTACTTCTACCTTAGGTTTAGGAGTAATATACCAGGAAATCTAAGCTCATAGAAACATGTTTTCCATTTTTGCTTGGGGTCCATTTTTCTACGTGTACATGCTTTTTGATCCATATATGTGTGCATGTCAAGAAATAAAAGAATCATACACCAAGGAGATTTTTAGCATGATACTGGAAGTGATGTCCAGGCTGACAAGCATTAATTACCTATTAAAGTAAAAGGTAACAGAATTGTCAGGGAGAAGGTGTTTCACATTTTGATCATTCCCTTTGATCTCAGAAACAAGCTCAGGAACTAGCCAGGCTTTAAACAGCATCTGGATTTGTTCCATGAGCAAACAGTTCAGTGTCCTATGATAAAAATGAATGTAAATAATTACTATGAGGTGGTAAACACATAAAGATGAACACACTATTGTGTGGGATACAATCTAAGAATTATCCTAGAGTCAGAATGAGGGTAAGGCCTTGAAATTCTTATGGAGAAATGTTTGTAACTGCCATTTAAGTATCCATACAATAGACTCTTAGGGGCCTTTACAGTTTTATAGTTGAGGAAACTAGTTCAACAGGTGTGACTTGGTCAAAGCTGATTAACCTTTTTTTTTTTTTTTTAATTTCATTTTTGGAGACCTAGTTTCACTCTTGTTGCCCAGGCTGGAGTGCAATGGCGCAATCTCGGCTTACTGCAATCTCCGCCTCCTGGGTTCAAGAGATTCTCCTGCCTCAGCCTCCCAAGTAGCTGGAATTACAGGCATCTACCACCACACCCAGCTAATTTTTTTTTTTTTTAGTCTATTGTTTTTTTTTCAGTAGAGATGGGGTTTCACCATGTTGGCCAAGCTGATCTCAAAACTCCTAACTTCAGGTGATCCACCCACCTTGGCCTCCCAGAGTGCTGGGATTACATGTGTGAGCCACCACACCCAGCCCTGATTAACCTTTAAAGTAAAAATTCTACGGTCCTAGATGGCATGTAGAATGTATTACGGCTCTGGATTCAAATACTAATCAAAACCTTTCATAGGTCTTTTTTTTTTTTTATAGACAGTCTTGCTCCGTCACCCAGGCTGGAGTGCAGTAGCACAGTCTCAGGTCACTGCAGCCTCAACCTCCCAGGCTCAAGTGAATCCACCACAGCCTCCAGAGTAGCTGGGACCATAGAGAGGTACATGCCACCATGCCTAGCTTTTTTTTTTTTTTTTTTTTTTAATTTTAGTAGAGATGAGGTCATGCTATGCTGCCCAGACTGCTCTGGAAATCCTGAGCTCACACAATCCTCCCACCTCAGCCTCCCAAAGTGCTGGGGTTACAGGCATGAGCCACCACACCTGGCCCAACCTTTGAAATCTTCTAGTCTTACCATGTTCTAACCCTCAGGTACCTAAAATTTTTTTTTTGGTAGAGACGAAGTCTCACTGTGTTGCCCAGGCTGGTCTCAAACTGCGAGGCTCTCACATTATCCTCTTGCCTCAGCCTCCCGAAGTGTTGGGATTACAGGCAGGAGCCACCATGCCTGGCCCCTAAGTTTTTTTTTTTTTTGATCACTCCAAATCAAGCATGTTGTAGGTACCAAAATTCTAACTCAAGGTGGCCTATGAACTGAGTTCATAACTTACATCTACCTATATATGGTGGTTCCTAGGCAGGGAGCTAACCTTTTAGATATTCATAAGCTATCTTGGAGACACATGCCATTGAGTACAGTAACTCTGCTGGGACTCCATATGTACCTTGAAAACTATGGAGAGCTAGTCAGGTGAATGAGACTGACCTGCCACTTGGCATCTACACATAAGGTATTCTACACTGAGTTTTCACATAGGTGTGCTAAGGTTTTAATGAGTCACTTAAATTCAATTATTCCCCAGCATATAAATTCCCCACAAAAAAATATAGTATATATTGCACTTGACCCAAGATGATGAAACCAAAAAAAGACAAAAAAAAAAAATTTATTGCCATAAATTAATCCAGTAGGCATATCTAAGAAAGCACGCATCAGTTGGTTAGGGCAATAAGCGCCTCTACCACATTGCCCATGTGTTCCCGCAAGCTGCGTTCTGCTGCTGCTCGAGATATCTCCATCTCAGTCATCTGCAGAAAAAAATCATGTTACATAGGTTCCCAGGCATTAATGTGCCACCAAATATACTGACTCCACTTGTTTCAGGAAACAACCCAAGTTAAATAGAACAAGCTCCCCTGGTCATACACTAGAGTTAGGCACTACTACTCACTATCAGTTCCAGATCTTCCTTCTTGATAGTGACTTTTGCCAGTTCTTTCTCCCTGCAAATATTTAAATAGATTAGTCCTCATTCTCAACCAACACCATAAACTCCCAGTAATGGTCATTCCCAAATGTGCCCTGTAAAAAAATCTTGGCAAATACTTGATTGAAAACAAAAACTCCCACTAATACTCCTTTCCCCTGAAGTCTTGGGAGCAGGCCTTCTGCTAACTAGAGTAGTAAAGTTGTGGCGCCTAGATCTGCAGGAATTGGTGATAAAGTTGAAGAACGGTATAAAGGCTTAATAATGCTTTTTATTTTTGTCTGGAGAGTGGGGAGGGAAGAACTGTTAAAGGTGGCTACCCCTGAAGACTTACCGCTCCTGTTTTGCTTTCTGCTCCCGGGACCTTCTGTCTCCAATCACAGACATGGCCTATGGGAAAGGCAGGTCTAGTTACTGCTCCGCTACCCACAATTCCCAATAATCTAAAAAGCAAATAAAACAAGGGGCTCAGGTATGAATTCAAGATGATAAGTGTTACCAGGTAGCAAGGACTATGTTTAATTCCATTCTATACATCTGAGGTCCCCTTTAAGCCCATTATCAAGCTTCTTTAGGCAAGGGCGGGCTCTGATGACCGCTGTTTCCCTCGGCTCTATCCTATTGCCGCCTCCTGCCATGGGGACCAGAATCCCGTCTTAGGGCGCTGGCTTCCAGCTACATACATCCTCAGAGCCTCCCTCTGCTCTCAGCCCGCCCCGACACGTTCTTGGCCAACCTTACCGTCTCCAGATTGGAACTCTGGATCTCCTTCTCCTCTGCATAGTCGGTGACCCGCTCCAAGTCCGCCGCACCGCTGTCATGTTTCCGTGGCTTCTCGGGAGGTCGCTCTGGGCCACTGGTCTCGGTCTCTAACTCCAGCTCCACATCCCCCTCGGTCGCCATATCTATTTCACCACGCCGCTGCATAAGCCCCACCCCACGGCGACTTCCGGCAACTGACACAACTTCCGCCCGGGGAGGAGGCGGGGCTGGCCCTGGGCCGCACCTTCTTTCTGCTCCAGTTCTAGAAGCTTCAGTGAGGAAGGCGGTTGTCTCTTAGACTTCCTTTAGGGCTTGTACAGTGTTGCCTTCTGCAAGGCCTTCTGTCATACCTAACCCGTCACCGCTCCGGCCCGCCCCACCGACATCCTTCCCCCGTCTTAACCTAGGAACAGTCACCTCACCACATAGACACACGCACGCACCTCAGGGAACGCCGTTCAACCTGAATGGGTGACGTCTAATCCTAAACCAATTAAGAATGCTAATCCACAAGAGACCAGATAGGCAAACAGCCGTTAATCTGGAGAGAACAGCCTGAGTAGTCCCAGTGGTGAGGCCCTGAGGAGAAAAACTCCTTCACAGGGTATTTGCATTTACCACATCGTGGAGGTTAGTGTCGTCTTCCCGATGTCCCCATTCTGCCTGCGACGCGGTGCTCAGCCCCAGCACAGTGGAAGTCCAGTGGGCTGAGGAAAGCAGCAGCTGCTGCTCTCATCTGCCTTCTGTCTGGTGGACCTAAACCTAATCCCTGGGACAAGGATGGTGGGTGCCAAGGCCAGCCCCGGCCCCAGCACCTCCCTGGGCCTGGCACAGCAGCACAGCGGAAGCAGCAGTGTCCTAGTGAGAAGCCCCTTCTGTCAGGTGAGAGGATGCAAAGGGAAGAGTGGCTGAAGCTGGGGAGGAAAACTTGCGGAAGCCAATAAAAACGACAGGCCTCTTTTCTCCTATAATGTCGTTCTGGTTCTTTGCCTCTGGTAATATGTAACTCTCTCCAGCCTGTTCCCTGTCCCAGGTGTTTAGGTCTAGAGAAAGGTCAGATATCCCAAACCTGCTTGTAATGAAATCCCTACTGAGTTGTCAGTGGAAGGCAATCCCAAATGGCTGCAACCAGCTTGAAACAGAACCTGAGTCAAAGAAAGAAAGGGGACAGGGAAATTTTGGAATTCAACCTCCTGGGTTAACCTCACACATACATTAACGTATGGCTTTCCTCAGCAAGTCCACCTCACCACCTTGCATCTGCTCTACCCCCAGGTGTGCTGCTGTGGGCCTGCTCCTTGTGCCAGCTGCTGCCACTCTAGGTGGCCCTTTCTCACCGCATCCACCTGCAGCCGCTTGTTCTACATCTTCCTCCATGTGGGGGCCTCAGCAATCTGCTGCCTCCTGCTGTCAAGGACAGTAGTGGAAAGGGTGTGGGGCAAGACACACAGGGTAAGTGAGAGGGGGTCAGGTCGTCAGGTGGGAAGAGATAAAAGGAAAACCCCTGACAAAGAAAAGAGATTTGGGTTGGGGACAGGAAACAAGTGAGTGGTCATACCCCATGACAAGTAGGTACCTTTCCATGCATTATGATTTGTCCTGCCATTTCTCACACACACACTCCCAGATCCAGATGCCCTCAGGCTTGTGTGCCCACCTGTTTGGCCTCTCTGACTGTCCAGTGCTCAGTGGTTCTGGGGCTGTGTACCGAGTATGTGCAGGAACCGCCACCTTCCACCTGCTGCAGGCTGTGTTGCTGGTCCACCTCCACTCCCCCACCAGCCCGCGGGCACAGCTGCATAATAGGTTTGTGTGTACCTTCTGGGTGGGAAGGGGACAGAGGGAAAGTAGACACAAGCTGGGTAAAGGAAATTCCAGGATGAAGTAATAGCACTGTAAAAAGACAGAAAACAGGTTTAAGTCCCTGCTTCCAGTGTACTTGCTGTGTGACCTTAAGCCAGAAACTTAATCCTCTTTAGGCTTCTAGTATCTAAAATGGAGATAACAATGGGGTTGTCGTTGTAATATAATCCTTTATAAACTGTAAAACATTGCCCACATTATGTTATTTAAGTATCTTTGAGTTAGAATTTGGAATAAGGTACAATAGGCCTGTCCCCTCATTTGTGATTGGTTCCTCAGTTGTCTCGTCTGTCCGCTTTCCTGTATTTTTGCTTGCTCTCTTGCCTTTCCCCATAGGCAGTCTTCACTCTCCTTTGCCTTTTCTCCTGAGTCTGGTTTTGTCTCTCCCTCCTAACCAGCTTCTGGCTCCTCAAGCTGCTGTTCCTGTTAGGTCTCTGTGCCCTTGCCTTCTGCATTCCTGATCAGCATTTCTTCCCAGGTAATCTCCCTCCCACACTCTGGGGGAGTAGGCTAAGTTTTCTGGCTAAGTTTTCTAAGATAACAAGCAGGTAAGAAGAGGAGTAATGATTTGACCACATTTTTCCACTGGTTTCCACTTGCAGCCTGGCATTACATTGGCATTTGTGGAGGCTTTGCATTCATCCTACTACAGTTGGTGCTTATTACAGCTTTTGCCCATTCCTGGAACAAGAACTGGTAAGGGGCACTTAACCCTAAAGGCTCTTCCTGGGAAGGTTTCTAGTATTGCTTTATGAAAAGGGCTGGGCAAAAGGCATGGCAGAGCACTGGTCCCGCAGTCTCCCACTGAGCAGTATCAAAAAAGCTTAGGAATGTGATGACTCTGTGGGCCAAGTAGGATGGAGTCACACCAGTCTTCTGGGAGCAGGGGAATAGTTGGTAATAGGTAAAAGAGTTGGAGCTCCAAGTCATTGCCCACCTTTCACCCTTAGGCAGACAGGTGCAGCTCAAGACTGTAGCTGGTTCCTGGCTGTCGTGCTGGCCACCCTAGGATTCTACAGTATGGCAGGTGTGGGAGCTATGCTCCTATTCCGCTACTACACACACCCAGCTGGCTGCCTGCTCAACAAGATGCTCCTCAGTCTGCACCTTTGCTTCTGTGGCCTCATCTCCTTCCTCTCCGTCACTCCTTGCATCCGCCTCAGTGGGTACATGCCCTACCACATTCCAGATTCTGGGGGCCTTAAAAGTGTATCGAGTTTCATTATCTCCCTAATCTCAATTATTTGATAAAAGAATCTCTGCTTCCCTACCCCCACGAGGAGACAGTAGTACAGGTGGGGGTAGGAACGGAGGAAACACCCTGTAGACTAAAGCAATGATACTCACTCCCCAGAGCAACCCCGCTCTGGCCTTCTACAAGCCTCTGTCATCAGCTGCTATATCATGTATCTGACCTTCTCTGCGCTGTCCAGCCGTCCTCCAGAGAGATGTAAGAAACAGGATCTGGATTCTACATGCTAAGACCTTTTTTTGCCCCTGCCAAATACCCAGCTCATTGTTCTTCACACCATCTCTTCTGTGTCCCTTCCCAGTAATCCTTCAAGGACAGAATCACACCTTGTGCCTGCCTGGCCTGAGTAAAATGGAACCCCAAACACCAGATACCTCTCTAGCAATGCTGAGTGCTGGCATTATGTATGCCTGTGTGCTTTTTGCTTGGTGCGTAAAGCTGTCAAGGGTAGAGCTTTGAGAGGAGGGAGGGTGCCCAGGACAGGAAGAGATGGTCAGGAGAATGTCTGGGACCATAGTTCATTTCAAGTTTAGAGCAAGACTAGAGTGAGAAAAGTTCCCCACAAACAGGGACAATTTCTAAGAATAGTACTTTGTCAGATGATCTCTATGAGATGAAGGAGGTGCGGGGGGGGGGGGGGGGGGTTGGAAATGATTTGAGAATGTAAAATATGTGCAAAGATCTTAGGGCTCTCACATGAATAGAATTCTAAATCTTTGGTGGAAAAGGGCACAGGGAGTATGGTACCCTCTTTTGAGGGTTACCAATATGGACCAGTTGGTAGTAAATGCCCCCAGATAATCCCTATTTAACTAGACCAGCTTAAGAACTTTCTTCTTTCTCAGCAATGAGGCCTCCTACCTGGCTGAGGTATTTGGACCCTTGTGGATTGTCAAGATTTACAGCTATGAGTTTCAGGTGAGGATAAACAGCTCAATATCCCCAACACCCCTCCCTCCCTCACACAAAGACACACACATCCTACCAACCTCTACCCAGAATGTTCAGATTCTAGCAGCTATTACCTTTTATTGAGTACCCACAATGTGCTAGGCAACTGTGCTAGATACTTTTACATAATCTCATTTAATTTAACCCTCACAACAACCCTGTGAGGTAGGTATTTGCTCCACTTTACAAATGGAGAAATTGAGGCACAAAAGATTAAACAGCTTACCAAAGTCCGCACAGCCAGTTATATGATGGAGCTAGAATTTGAACCCAGGTGTGCCTTCACTTTTTAATACTAGACCAATCTTTTCACGGGGGAAGTTTCCTAGATTAACACCCTCACATATTTTAAGACCATTCCAAAACCTGCATTCTGTTTTGCAGAAGCCCTCACTGTGTTTCTGCTGCCCTGAAAGAGTGGAGGCAGACGAAGGTGAGTGTCAAGTGAGGAGCCATAAGAAGTGGTAGATCTCTGTGGAGTGCCATAAGAACCTTCAAGAACCTTAAAGAAGGTAGCTGGGGGAGAGTGGAAGAGGTGTTTCAGCAACACTGCTCCCAGCAGCCCTTTCATCTCTCCAGGACAAAGGGGTGGGGCTGCTAGGCCAGCTGACCAAGAGACCCCTCCAGCTCCTCCAGTCCAAGTCCAGCATCTTTCCTACAGCTATTCTGCCTTCCACTTCGTCTTCTTCCTTGCCTCACTCTATGTCATGGTTACCCTTACCAACTGGTTCAGGTAAGATGGAGGTGGGCCTTAGATACTCTCCTGAAGATCTAGTTATTTTACAGAAAGAGCAATTCAAGGCCATTCCAGATACACATGGGTCTGCCATTACTTGGGGTGACGAGGTAGATCGGGTCTAAAAGCTAAGGCCCTTCATATTCTCTAACCAGAGCCTTTGGTTACACAGCTATGAGGGAGCAGAACTGGAAAAGACCTTCACCAAGGGTAGCTGGGCCACCTTCTGGGTCAAAGTTTCCTCATGCTGGGCCTGTGTACTCCTCTATCTGGGGCTGCTACTGGCACCACTCTGTTGGTCCCCCACCCAGAAACCCCAGCCCCTTATTTTCAGGCGACGAAGGCGACACCACCACTGCATCGTATCCCCAGATAACAAATATCCTCCAGTCTAAGTCCCTTTCACAAATGGGCTCCCCTGACATTGTACTCCTAGAGTTGGCTAAAAGGGAGCTGTCCAGCCCAGCTCAATACATCAAGGATACAATGGGGAGTTATTTCCCTTTAGGCTAAAGTCAGTACTATGTCTGAACTGGAAGAAGTGGTCAAACACACTCTAATGCGCTGGGCAGTGTCTGACGCACTGGAGCTACTGTTACATCTGCATCCCAGCTCAAGAGCCTAACTCCCAAACCAGCAGCTCAGGAACCACTGCTGATTTTAGCAGACAGTGTGGCACCAGCCCTTTCCTGGCTCTTGGGCTGGAAGTGGGGGTGGGGAAAGACCAACAGGGACTGAAGACAGCTCTGCCCTTGGAGAAAGGAAAATAAGCAGTTCAGCCCTGGGCACAGGGATATAAGAAGCCCAGAACCACAGAACAAACCAGGGCATTGGAAGAAAGGAGCAGAGGCTACCCCAGGCTTTAATTCTGATCTTGAGGTCAAGGGAAGAGGGAAGACAAAAACCACCCTCATTCCATGAGGAATGACAGAAGAGAATGTTAACATTTGACAGCATCTGACCACGGAAGTCGGTGAGCAGCAGGATTTTTTGGCCAACTTTCAAGCAGACGAACAAACTGAGGAAGAATGAGGAAGAGAGGCATAAACACAGATCTTGCAGCCTTCACTCTTAGGCCAACTCCATCCCAGAGATGGTGTTCAAGGGTGGGGAACAAAAATCACAGAAAAGAAGTCTCTATGGTTCTTAGAGGATTCCTCTACCACATATCCGGAGTACTTGTTTGGTTGTCATTGTATAATAAAGGCTTCTTCTGTGATGTTTCACTTATTAAGCCTACATATCCACAATCTGAGTCTAAAGAGTTCTCCATTTTTGGTGGGAAAGGGCAGTCATTCCTCCAACCCCATCCCCCCAAGTCCCCAGTCAAACCAGGCGCTCAAGGAATTACAAAGCTACTTTTAATACTTTGGGGTGAGCCCCACAGGAATAAAAAACACTGGGAAGGGGTAACCCCCTCATCCCCGGGAGTGGCCCAGGGGTAGAGAGGCTACCTGAGGGGAAGGAAGCACAAAAGGGACCCGCTGCAGACTCAGGGCAAAGGGAATGCCATCGGTGCTGGGACCTGTGAGCACTACAGGAGGAAACGCGAGCGTGGTGGGACTGGCTCCAGGCACACAGGCGAAGGGCAAGAGGGTTGGACACGAAGCCACAAAGCTACTTGGGTTCCTCCTTCTTCTCGTTTGCCTTTTTCTGCTTCTGCTGCATGATCTCCGAGTCCCTGGGGGTAGAGATGATGGGGCACTGGGAGGTACCAGAGGGCAAAAAGGACAAGATGCAGGGGGATGAAGGGCACAAAGGATAAGATGGAAGTGGATGGGACTAAGCTCAGCGTTTGGCTGCTGCATTCCCACCCTAGGAGAACAAGAGGAAGAGAGCTGAGGCTCAAAAGGCAACCAGTTTCCATCTGGCTGTTGCCCAAAGGGTCAGAAGTCTGGCGACACAGGCCCAAGGCTCTCTATTCTGTGTTGAGTACCACACCCAACAACACCAGTGAGTAGGGAGAAGGGAGTAGAACCGAACAGCAAGGAGGGCCAAAGTACTGGGCTGTCATAACCACAACTTTTTTGAAATGTGAAGCTCCCTGCCCTTGCCCTTAAGGTCAAACCCAGGCACGCTCAAAAATCAGACTGAGGGCAGTCGCCCGCCCCCGTCCTTTCCTGTAAGGCTGTAAGCTAACAATTTGGAGGCTGGGGAGGAAATAAAACCCTAGAGGAAGCAATGCACTCTGCTCCTCACGACTAGTCCAGATTCAAGCCCTGAGATACCTCTTTCCTGCTGTAACCTTTGGTCTAACCCAGGTCTCCACCGTCCCTTTCCCTCCCCTCCCTGGGGCTACCTCTGCTTGCGGGCGGCAGCAGAAAGCCCGTCATCTCGGCGCTTTCCCTTAACCGAGTCGCTCTGCTTTTTCATATTCTTCTGGCGGGCGAGCTCTCGCTGGTTACCGCCTAAGGAAAGAAGATTATAAAGGTGAGACGCCGGGGCCGCTGTGCCCACACATCGGCAACCCTTCTACCCCAGTGCGGCCAGCGGCAGGATCCAACACCACTTCAATCCCCCGGCCCCGACACCGGCCCCCTTCGAGGCCCAGGCTGCTTAGGGTAGGGGGGAGTGGCGAATCTGCCAAGGGCCAGGTTAAAATGCGGGATGGAGAGAAGAGGTCCCGAGAAGCCAGCTGGAGGCGTGATTCGGGGCGGCGTGGGGCCCAAACAGCTGGCGGGGTCTGTGGGGACGGTTTGGGTCTCTGTGGGGGATGGGCTGGCTTGTGAAGCAGGGGGCTCTGGGCCTATCACAGGGGCGCTGGGCTTCTCCTCACACCGCAGAAGGTCCGGGAGGGCCTATGCCTAACGCGGGGGGGTGGTCCCGTGAAGTGGCTGTGGGCAAAAGGCTCGATTTCCGCGCACCGATTGTGAGGGTGGCTACAGAGCGCGCCCAGAAAAAGGCCTCGCCAGGGAATCTATGGAAGGTCAAAGCTAGCCACTCGCAGGTGATGTTTAGGGTGAAGGGAAAGAAAAGGGCAAGGAGAAGGGGTCTAGATGCTCACGGGTCATGGCGACGGCAGCGGCTCCGACCTCCCTCCGTTACGTCCCCTCGTTCTGTCCGACGTTGCAGGTCCCGCCCCCTTCTCGCAAAGTAACGCAGTCGTCCCTTTCCTCCCCGCCCCTTCGCACCCGGACGCCGGCTCCCATTGGACAAGAAAAAACACGTGGGTCCACGGGCCGTGGTAGAGCCTGGGTGGGTAAGGGACTGAGAGTCGCGGGCGGAGCGCTCAGCGTGGGGCGGGGCCTCCCGAGCTAGGCGTAGGGCCGGGCGTTGAGAAACTAGGCCGGCTCACGTGGGCAGGGTGGGGGTGGAGGGGTGCGGCTGGCGATGTGGCGCTCCCGCGGGCTCGAGCACGTGACCGGGCAGAGTGACCTCATGCTGGGACCGTTTGGGGTACTGACAAAGTCGCCCTGAAGAAGCGCCGGGAGACGGAGGGTGGGGTTTAAACCAGTTCTGTGTTACCGGTACTCTACGACTAAACGTGTTCTTGCGTAGGACCACCTCTCAGCCGCTTACTTGAACGCGAGTTGTTCTCAGCTCGCTTAAAATCTAGTACAAACACAACTTAAGAAACCTGCTTCTATTCCCATTGTCCCCTTCCACGCCCCTGCCACATCTGGTATTTCCTAAAAATCTGCCCTGCTCGTTTTCCCCCAGAAACTTTAAATGTGAAGATGCAACTTGGAAATACTGGAGGACTCCAAAAGTCACAGACTATGGAGTTGAATCAGTGGCTGAGATTAGATAATGCACAAATTATGTCCGCTTTTTCCCTCTGGACCTTTCCTCACTGTGTCATCTCCACCAGCCACACCTGGTTTTGTATTAAGACCCTAGAATAAGACCAAAAGCAAAAATTAGAGCCAGGCGTGGTGGCTCACACCTGTAATCCCAGCACTTTGGGAGGCCGAGGCTGGTGGATCACGAGGTCAGAAGATGGAGATCATCCTGGCTAATACAGTGAAACCCTGTCTCTACTAAAAATACAAAAAATTAGCTGGGCGTAGTGGTGCATGCCCACCTACTCAGGAGGTCGAGGCAGGAGAATCTCTTGAACCTGGGAGGCAGAGGTTGCCGTGAGCCGAGATCGCACCACTGCAGTGCAGCCTGGGTGACAGAGAGAGACGTCGTCTCAAAACAAAACAAAACAAAAACCCTGGAATAAGACAAGACGCAAAAATTAAACTCATTCTCATTCCCAGTTCCATTAATCTGTTTACAAAAGTCTCTACCAGACCTGAGGAATTAACGGGTTAAAGGAGAAATGCTTAGGAAATATCACAGGAAAGGATTGGTTGTAGATGTTAACTTGTGTCTCCCTCCAGCTACTGCCCACAGCACAACCAAGTTGAGGCTCGAATTTCAAGCTGGCTTCACCTCAACATAGAGCTGATGGAAAGTAGTAAATCTCAAATCAGTACTATCCTATTTCTTCCATACCAAACTAGCTGAAAAAATATTACTAAATATTTTTGTATCGCTCTTAAATAAAAGATATAAATCAAACTTCATATTTCTATAGTAAATCTAAAATCAACATCACTTGCTCACAAAAAGTAAGTATAAAATAAAATACATAATTAAAGTATACCAAAATAGGTGGGGCATGGTGGCTCACGCCCGTAATCCTAGCACTTTGGGAGGCCAAGGCAGGGAGATTGCTTGATCCCAGCAGTTTGAGACCAGCTTGAGCCACACAGACCCCCCCACTTCTCTTTGGGTATTAATAATACCCAAAGTATGTCTTCTTTGAAGGTGTAAAGCCTGGAACTTAACTTTTTTGTGGTGGGGGGGAAGGATCTCACTCACCCATACTGGAGTGCAGTGGAGAAATCTCAGCTCACTGCAACCTCTGCCTCCCAGTCTCAAGTGATTCTCCTAGCTCATTCTCCCGAGTAGCTGGGACCACAGGCACATGCCACCATGCCCGGCTAATTTTCTATTTTTTAATTTTTTGTATTTTTAAAGAGATGGGTTTCGCCATGTTGCTCAGGCTGGTCTCGAACTCCTGAGCCTAGGTGATCCACCCAGCCTCTGACTGCTCTTGAAAAGAGAAATTAACAAGTGTTAAAAAGTTTAAGAGAGGCCGGACATGGTGGCTCACCCCTGTAATCTCAGATCCTGCCATTGCACTCCAGGCTGGGCAACAAAGTGAGACTCTGTCTCAAAAAAAAAAAAAGGTAATAAGATACCCTTAGGCTGGAGTGCAGTGGCTCCATCTCAGCTCACTGCAACCTCCACCTCCAGATTTCAAGCAATTGTCCCGCCTCAACCTCCCAAGTAGCTGGGATTACAGGCACCCACCACCATGCCTGGCTAATTTTTGTATTTTTGTAAAGATGGGGTTTCATCATGTTGGCCAGGCTGGTCTTGAATACCTGACCTCAGGTGATCTGCCCGCCTCGGCCTCCCAAACTGCTGGGATTATAGGCATGAGCCACCACGCACGACTGGCATTGGGTGTATCTTGATGAGCAGAACATATTCCTACAGTGAAAGATATAAAGAGAAAAAAGCTCTCTCATATACTTTCTCTCTGTCCCACTATCTCTCTCTCTCTCTAAAATGCGTATATGTATGTATATATCTGTGTGTCTATATATATAAATTTTTTTTTTGAGCTGGAATCTTACTCTGTTGCCCAGGTTGGAGTGCAGTGATGCAGTCTCGGCTCACTACAACATCCACCTCTTGGGTTCAAGTGATTGTCCTTTATCAGCCTCCCTGCTGGCTGGGATTACAGGCGCCCACTACCACACCCAGCTAATTTTTGTATTTTTAGTAGAGACAGGGTTTCACTATGTTGGCCAGGCTGGTCTTCAACTCCTGACCTCATTCGTGATCCACCCATCTCAGCCTCCCAAAGTGCTGGGATTACAGGCATGAGCCACCGCACTGGCCTTTTTTAGTATTTTTTTTTTAGTAGAGACAGGGTTTCACCATGTTGGCCAGGTGGGTCTCAAACTCCTGACCTCAAGTGATCCATCCGCCCCAGCCTTCCAAAGTGCTGGGATTACAGGTGTGAGCCACCACATCGGCCTATATATGAAAACTGATTGTGATAATAGCTTTAATGGAAAATAACAGATTCCACGCAAGGATGATATTCAAAATGTTTCACAGTACGCACAGCATAAGCACTGACCCATAAAAACAGATGTCAGTGTAATTTGAATGAGGACTCTGTGAGCAATTCCACCTGGTATGAAGTAACTAAATAGTACTGCTGGTGCGATGAAGGGAGTACACCTGTGGACTCTGTAGGCTTTAATTTTGATTAGGGAGGTGAAGTAAGTGATATTTGAGCTAAAGCAAAAAGATGACAAGTTAGCCAAGGCAAGGAGGGAAGGGCAGGGAGAACATTTCAGGAGGGAACAGCACATGTAAAGGCTCTAAGGCCCTCCTCCTTCAGGTCATCCCATCAAGAGCCACAAGATTATTGTGTAGGTAAAGGGAAAGTCACTAATGCCTAATGAGCAGGGCGGTGTGAGACTAGTCAGATAGGGAGGTAGGATTGTGATGAGATCCAAGTTACTACTGCTAATATAACTACTAGCTAACATCATGTGGATTTTTATTTGGCACATTTAGTGTATTTTTCTTATTTGAGGCTTACGATGACCTTTGGAGGTGTCATTACCCTCTTCCTACCGATTTAGAAACCTCCTCCCAAGCAGGTTAAATAACTTTCTCAAGGAAACTGAGATAATAAGGGGTGGAGCTGAGAGTCTAACCCAGCCTGTGCTCTTCATCAGCAGAAGGTAAGTTTTGAAAAGATCACTTTGTCAGTAGAGAATGTATTACAGCAGATGAATAGAAATGAGACCAGTCAGGAGGCTATCACAGGCAACAGGCGCTAGGTCTCAGTTTAAATGTTACCTCTTGGAGGCTACAGTGAGCTGTGATCACACCACTGCACTCCAGCCTGGGTGACACAGTGAGACCCTTCTCAAAAAACAAACAAATATTACCTCAGAAGTGGTTCTTTGGGAGGTGGAGGTTGTAGTGAGCCAAGATCATGCCATTGCACTCCAGCCTGGGCAACAAGAGCAAAACTCCAACCCCCCCAAAAAAGAAAAGAAATTCTTCCCCTTCAGCCTATACTCAAGGGAGTACTGTATGGCTAAGGGTGGTATTGAATGGCTAAGTCAATTAAACTAATCCCTTTTAATATTGATTGGTTTAGGAATCCAGGCCTAAACAGATTATTTCGTGATATTCGCCTGGTAACAGTTACTGGTACAGGAATGAGCATGTGGCCTAGATTAACCTGATCAGAGCAAAGGGAAGGACTTTTTGTCCATTGCTATGGGAGTGACAATGCTGTTTCCCACTGACATGAATGAGGAAAACATAGCCTATACAGCTCCTTGCAGCTCTAGTCTATCACCTAGAAGAGAGGCAATGTTAGGTTGAAGCAAATGAATAGCAGAAAGAATCTTGGTACTTGGTGATGCTGTTGGACCGCTGGATACCTCAACTGTAACATTTCTTCTACATTGAGTGTCCTGCTGTGGGAACAACCATATTTTGTTTGTTTGTTTGTTATTGTTTGTTTAAGCTGCCTTGAGTCAGGTTTCTGTTACTTCAGTTAAATACACTTTAATCAAACATAGACAAGAGAAATAGCATATGCCAAGGCCCTGAGACGGGGATAAGTTTGGATAATTAGATGCACTTAGGCCTCACCTAATGAAATGGTCCAGTCAGATTATCTTAAAGTGCAACCAGCTCTTCCCACGCATACCGGACATCACCCAGGTTTTTAGTGCCTTGCTTGTAGAGAAGAGTATAGAGCCAAGGATCACCAAGCATTGGAGAAAACAGTCCTAACATAAAAATTGACCCCCCAAAAACACAGAAAATTTAATCTCATGGCTGGGCATGGTGGCTTATGCCTGTAATCCCAGCCTTTGGGAGGCCGAGATGGGCAGATTACTTGAAGTCATGAGTACAAGACCAGCCTGGCCAACATGGCAAAACCCAATCTCTACTAAAAATACAAAAATTAGCTGGGCGTGGTGGCATGCACCTGTAATTCCAGCTACTTGGGAGGCTGAGGCACAAGAATTGCTTGAACCCAGGAGGCGGAGGTTGCAGTGAGCTGAGATCATGCCACTGCACTCTAGCCTGGGTGACAGCGCAAGACTCAGTCTCAAAAAAAAAAAAAAGAAGAAGAAGAAAAAGAAAATGTATTCTCAGAGGAAACAAACAATTCGTTTTCAAAACCACAAGAAAATCAGAGGCACAGGACTATAAATAGTATTATTTGAGAGAGAGGATATTGAAAAACAACAGGAAGTTTATAAAAAGAGATAATTCAAAAAACATCCAGGTGTGGTGGCTTGTACTTGTAGTCCTAGCTGCCGAGGAGGCTGAGATGGGAGAATTGCTTAAGCCCAGGACTTCAAAGTTGTAGGGAGCCGTGATCTCCCTACCACACTCCAGCCAGGGTGACAAAGCAAAACCATGTCTCTAAAAAACAAGGAAAAAATTAAAGAAAGAAACATTCAGGCTGGGCGAGGTGGCTCATGCCTGTAATCACAGCACTTTGGGAGGCTGAGGCAGGCAGATCATTTGAGGCCAGGAGTTACAGACCAGCCTGGTGAAACCTTGTCTCTACTAAAAATAAAAAAATTAGCCAGGCACAGTGGCTCACACATGTAATCCTAGCACTTTGGGAGGCTAAGGTTGGTGGATCACCTGAGGTCAGGAGTTTGAGACCAGCCTCACTAACAGGGTGAAACCCCACCTCTACTAAAAATACAAAATGAGCCAGGCATGGTGGCATATGCCTGTAATCTCAGCTACCTGGGAGGCTGAGGCAGGAGAATCACTTGAACCTGGGAGATGGAGGTTGCAGTGAGCCAAAATCGTACCATTGCACTCCAGCCTGGGCAACAAGAGTGAAACTTCGTCTAACAAAATAAAATAAATTAGCCAGGTGTGGTGGCAGACGTCTGTAATCCCAGCTGTTGGAAGGCTGAGGCATGAGAATCGCTTGAGTCCAGGAGGCGGAGTTTGCAGTGAGCTAAGATCATTCCACTGCTTTCCAGCCTGGGTGACAGAGTAAGACTCTGCGCCCACCCCTGCAAAAAAAAAAAAAAAAAAAAAATAGGCTGGCCCACGCTTGTAATCCCAGCACTTTTGGAGGTCAATGTGGGCAGATCCCAAGGTCAGGATATCAGACCACCCTGGCCAACATGGTGAAATGCCGTCTCTACTAAAAATACAAAAATTAGCTAGGTGTGGTAGCACTTGCCTGTAATCCCAGCTACTCAGGAGTCTGAGGCACGAGTATCGCTTGATTCCAGGAGGTAGAGGTTTCATTGAGCTGAGATCGCACCACTACACTCTAGCCAGGCGACAGAGCGAAACTCCGTCTCAAAAAAAAAAAAAAAAAGAAGTAGGGCCAGGTGTAATGGCTCAAGCCTGTAATCCCAGCACTTTGGGAGGCCAAGGCAAGTGGATCACAAGGTCAGGAGATCAAGACAATCCTGGCCAACATGGTGAAACCCAATCTCTACCGAAAATACAATAATTATCTGGATATGGTGGCACAAGCCTGTAATCTCAGCTACTTGGCAGGCTGAGGTAGGAGAATCACTTGAACCCAGGAGGCGGAATTCCAGTGAGCCAAGATTGAGCCACTGTACTCCAGCCTGCATGACAGAGTGAGACTCTGTCTTTTTTTTTCTTTTTTTTTTTTTTTTGAGACAGAGTTTCACTCATGTTACCCAGGCTGGAGTGCAATGGCGCGATCTCGGCTCACCGCAACCTCTGCCTCCTGGGTTCAGGCAATTCTCCTGCCTCAGCCTCCTGAGTAGCTGGGATTACAGGCACGCGCCACCATGCCCAGCTAATTTTTTGTATTTTTAGTAGAGACAGGGTTTCACCATTTTGACCAGGATGGTCTCGATCTCTTGACCTCGTGATCCACCCGCCTCGGCCTCCCAAAGTGCTGGGATTACAGGCTTGAGCCACCGCGCCCGGCCTGAGACTCTGTCTTTAAAAAAAAAAAAAATAGCCAGGCATGGTGGCATGCCTGTAGTCCCAGGAGGCTGAGGCGGAAGAATTGCTTGAACCCAGGAGGCAGAGGTTGCAGTGAGCTGGGATTGTACCACTGCATGCCAGCCTGGGCCACGTAGTGAGACCTTGTCTCAAAAAAAAAATTAAATGGAAAAATTGATACATAATTAATATTTTGTTTTGTTTTGTTTTGTTTTGTTTGAGGCAAAACCTCACTCTGGTGCCCAGGCTGGAGTGCAGTGATGGAATCTTGGTTCATTGCAACCTCTGCCTCCTGGGTTGAAGTGATTCTCCTGCCTCAGCCTCCCGAGTAGCTGGGACTAAAATTAGCTGCCATGCCCAGCTAATTTTTGTATTTTTAGTAGAGACAGGGTTTCCCTATGTTGGCCAGGCTGGTCTCGAACTCCTGACCTCAAGTGATCCACCTGTCTCAGCCTCCCAAAGTGCTGGGATCACAGGCATGAGCCATCGCACCTGGACGACAAGTTGTAAGTTTTTAAATTGAGTGCTCTTCTGAATAATGTGATAAAATCTTGTGTCCTCCCTCTCCATCCCACCCAGGATGATAATCCTCCCTTTTTCCAGTGTATCCACACTGTAAACTACACTCACCCAGTAATAACTTAGTAGCCATCTCAGTTACCAGAGCGTATCACAGGGCTTGTTTGCACGAAATCCATATTTTACTTAATGATGAGCCCAAAGTACAAGAGTAGTGATGCTGCCAATTTGAGTTTGCCAAAGAGAAGCCATAAAGTGCTTTCTTTAAGTGAAAAGATGGAAGTTCTTGCTAAGAAAAAAAAAAAAATATTATGCTGAGGTTGCTAAGATTTAAGGTAAGAAACAAATCTCCCCATTCGTGAAATTGTGAAAAAAAGAAAAAAAAAACTCATGCTAGTTTTGCTGTTGCACCTCTAACTGCAAAAGTTGTGGCCACAGTGCATCGTAAATGCTTAGTTAAGATGGAAAAGGCATTAAATTTGCAGATGGAAGAAATGAACAGAAACATGTCAGGTTCAGTATTTTCTGTTTTCAAGAATCCACTGAGGGCCTTGGAACATACTCCCTGAAGGTAAGGGTAAACTACTGTATGAGGTATCTAGAGTAGCCACATTCACAGAAACAGAAAGCAGAAGGGTGGTTGTTGCTAGGGGCTGGGAGAAGGGGGAAATGAGGAATTGTTAAATGGGTATGGAGTGTCAGTTTTAGTTCTGGAGATTGGTTGCAGGGCAATATGAATGTACTTAACATTACTGACTCATACACTTAAAAGTAGTTAAGATTGTGGCAGTCGCAGGTGCATCGCTCTCTGGTTCAGGCGTGTGAGTGTCGGCCACGATCTCTGCGCTGGGATGAGCCGTGCTCCCAGTGGAAGCAAGGGAACCCAGCCGCAGCAGCCATGGCCAGTACAGTGGTAGCAGTTGGACTGACCATCGCAGCTGCAGGATTTACAGGTGGTTATGTTTTGCAAGCCATGGAGCATATGGAGCCTCAAGTAAAACAAGTTTTTCAAAGTCTACCAAAATCTGCCTTCAGTGGTGGCTTTTACAGAGGTGGGTCTGAACCCAAAATGACAAAATGGGCAGCAACATTAATACTAGGTGTAAGCCCTACTGCCAATAAAGGGAAAATAAGAGATGCTCATTGACGAATTATGCTTTTAAATCATCCTGACAAAGGAGGATCTCCTTATATAGCAGCCAAAATCAATGAAGCTAAAGATCTACTAGAAGGTCAAGCTAAAAAATGAAGTAAATATATCATGAATTTTAAGTTCATACTAGTTTATGTATATGAGTATTTTTATAATAAAATGCCTCAGAGCTACAGTTTTAAAAAATGATTTAGCACAAGCTAAATCTCAAAGCCTTGGTATAATTTTGTTGTTTAAACATAGGGATTTTAAATTAGACTATAGTTTAGAATATTTGCATATTAATTATGGGCAAACACACACCATTTGAAGAGGAATATTGTTCATTCCTCGTTTAGCAGATGATTTGGGACCTATGTCTACTCTTCAAGGCAAAGTGAAGATGACAGTCCTTGCTCTCAGGGAGCCCCCACTTTAATGGGAGGCCAATAAACTGGTAATTGGGCTATGTGATAAATAGTATGATAGAAATTCGCTCAAGCTGTTCAAGTACAGAGTCTTATGAGGTAAAAAAGGCTGTTCCAGGTATAGTCAACTGGCCCAGCAACTTGGATAGTTGGAACCTTGTATTTAAAAGTGAATTTAGCCACAACTTAGACCTAAGAAATTGACCTAGGGGTGTGGGTGGGTGTGTATGCATTCTATTTACATACATATATTTATAAACAGAATATTTATTTCATACATTAAAAACAGTATGATAAAGATTTTAGAGTACGGGTCTGGCACAATCACAGCTCATTGCAACCGCAACCTCCTGGGCTCAAGCAATCCTCCCACCTCAGCCTCCCAAAGTGCTTGGATTACAGGCATGAGAAGTATTTACTTTGTATTCAGCTAGCCCCTAAAAGGTACTGACCATTTATAAATTATTCCTTCAGTTGACTATTTCTTGAGGAGCTTCTGTAATTGTTATGATTAAGCTTAAACACTGTTAGCAAAACTGAAATATCAAAATATTCAATTTGGACTATTAAGAATTTATACACTAATAAATTTAAATGATGTTTTTTAAAAAAGTAGTTAAGATTGTAAATTTTATGTCATGTATATTTTGTTCCAATTAAACATGTTTTAGGCCGAGCACAGTGCCTCACACCTGTAATCCCAGCACTTTGGGAGGCTGAGGCAGGCTGATCACCTGAAGTCAGGAGTTTGAGACCAGACTGGCCAATGTGGTGAAACCCCATCTCTACAAAAATTAGTCAGGTGTGGCGGCGCACGCCTGTAATCTCAGCTACTCAGGAGGCTGAGGCAGGAGAATCGCTTAAACCCAGAAGGCAGAGGTTTCAGTGAGCCAAGATTGCATCATTGCACTCCAGCCTGGGTAACAAGAGCCACACTCCATCTTCCAAATAAATAAATAAATAAATAAACATTTTTAAGTATTTGTAAAAAACACATGGGTTCATAAAGGAAAACAATTATATTTAAATATAATTATCAAAATATTAAAAATTTTTATGGTATAGTAACTGATTTTCATTAATGCATTAAAGATCTAACAGTAAGTTTAATAGCAATTATAATTACAAAGTGTGCTCAATGCAAACAATATTTAGATGTATCTTCAACACTTGTAATGTAATATTAAAATATCTGTTATTTCTATTCATAAGAACACTGCAGTTACTGCCAGTATCAGTGATTTGTTGCCTACATTCACAATTAAATGAGGTGCTAAATTTCTGTTAGAGGTTAGTGAAAATACAGATGTAATTTTGGCTGGGTGTGGTGACTCATGCCTGTAATCTCAGCACTTTGGGAGGCCGAGGTGGGAGAATCACTTGAGGCTGGGAGTTTGAGACCAGCCTGGACAACATGGCAAGATTCTGTCTCTATAAAAAATTTAAAAATTTGCTAGGTGTGGTGGCACACTCCTGCAGGTACGGCTACTAAGGAGGCTGATGTGGGTGGACTTCTTGAGCCCAGGAGTTCAAGACTGCAGTGAGCTATGATTGTGCCACTGCACTCCAGCCTGGGTAACAGAGGGCAACACCCTGCCTCAAAAATAAATAAATAAATATGTAATTTTTTTTCCTTCCAAGTTCACAAACTCCCTGAATTCTATGATCTGTAGGCTCTTTTCTAAGCCGAGGATTTATCATCAGTCCTTAGTGTTTGACACATTCCTAACTTATTCACTGTCTTACACTTCCAGGCAACTGTTTCACACTATTTTCACACCTCAACCCCCATCACTCCTCCCTCATCCTCTCTCTCAGTTGCTTCCTACTTCAGTGAGAAAAATGGAAGCAATTTAAAAAAAACTTTTTTCAGACTCCCACCACATCTACCTAACCTCTGCATCTGCACCCACCTTCTCTGCCTGTGGCCTGTTACTATAAATGAACTGCCCACACTCTTACTTAAAGCCAGTCCTGAGTAGATCTCATGACCTCAAACTTATTCAAGGGCACTACTCCAGTAAATCTTCTACACCATAAAAATTTTGGAGATGTTCTAAAAATTATTACCATCAACATAGAACATGCTATTTCTCCCATCTTAAAACTTTTTCTTGATTGTATTTCCCCACCATGACTTCTATTTCTCTGTCCCCATATTAAGCAAAACTCAGGTTTCTTTCTTTTTTTTTTTTTTTTTTTTGAGACGGAGTATCACTCTGTGGCCCAAGCTGGAGATCAGTGGCATGATCTCAGCTCACTGCAACCTTTGCCTCTGGAGCTCAAGTGATTCTCCTGCCTCAGCATCCCAAGTAGCTGGGACTACGGGTGCCTGCCACTATGCCTGGCTAATTTTCATATATATATATATATATATATTTTTTTTTTTTTTTTAGTAGAGACAGGGTTTTACCATATTGGCCAGGCTGGCCTCAGACTCCCGACCTTATGATCTTCCCGCCCCAGCCTCTCAAAATGCTGAGATTACAGGCATGAGCCACCACGCCTGGCCAATTTTTTTTGTATTTTTAGTTCACCATGTTGCCCTGGGTGGTCTTGAACTCCTGAGCTCGGGCAATCCACCCACCTCACCTCCCAAAGTGTTCGGATTACAGGTGTGAACCACCAGGTGCCCAGCCTCATTTTTTATTTTTTTTTTTTTGAGACAGAGTCTCGTTCTGTCTCGTCCAGGCTGGAGTGCAGTGGCACGATCTTGGCTCACTGCAGCCTCCACCTCCTGGGTTTAAGTGATTCTCCTGTTCTCCTGTCTCATCCTCCGGAGTAGCTGGTACTACAGGTGTATGCCACCACACCTGGCTATTTTTGTATTTTTTTTCACTTTTTTTTTTTCTTTCAGTCTGTGCTTATCCATTATATTTTTGCATTTTTAGTACAGACGGGTTTCACCATGTTGGCCAGGCTGGTCTCAAACTCCTGACCTCAGGTAATCTACCTTGCTCTGTTGCCCAGGCTGGAGTGCAACGTCACGATCTTGGCTTACTGCAACCTCTGCCTCCCAGGTTCAAGGGATTTTCCTGCCTTAGCCTCCCAAGTAGCTGGGATTACAGGTGCGTGCCACCACGCCCAGCTAATTTTTGTATTTTCTTTCTTTTTTTTTTTTTTTTTAGTAGAGAGAGGGTTTCACCATGTTGGTCAGGCTAGTTTCGAACTCCTGACCACCTTGGCCTCCCAAAGTGCCATTATAGACGTGAGCCACTGCACCCAGCCTCGGTCAATTCTTAATCTTCATTTTATTTGACCTATAGACAGAATTTAATGTAGTTGATCACTCCCTTCTCCTTGAAACGTTTTCTGCCCTTGGCTTTCAAGATGTCATACTCTTTTTGTTTGTTTGTTTTTTTGAGGTGGAGTCTTGCTCCATCACCCAGGCTGGAGTGCAGTGGCACAATGTCGGCTCATTGCAGCCTCCGCCTCCCAGGTTCAAGTGATTCTCCTGCCTCAGCCTCCCGAGTAACTGGGACTACAGGCATGCCTGGCTAACTTTGTGTGTGTGTGTGTGTGTGTGTGTGTGTGTGTGTGTGTGTGTGTGTGTGTCTGTGTGTGTTTAGTAGAGATGGGTTTTTACCATGTTAGCCAGGATGGTCTCAATCTCCTGACCTTGTGACCCGCCTGCCTTAACATCCCAAAGTGCTGGGATTATAGGCGTGAGCCACCGGGCCAGGCTTTTTTTTTCTGTTTGAGACGGAGTCTCATTCTATCGCCTAGGCTGGAGTGCAGTGGCGATCTTGGCTTACTGCAACCTCTGCCTTCCAGGTTCAATAGATTCTCCTGCCTCAGCCTCCCGAGTAGCTGAGACTAAGGTGCCTGCCACCATGCCCGGCTAATTTTTTTTTTTTTGAGACGGAGTCTTGCTCTGTCATCAGGCTGGAGTTTGATGACGTGATCTCAGTTTACTCCAGTCTCCGCCTCCTGGGTTCAAGCAATTCCCCTGCATCAGCCTTCTGAGTAGCTGGGACTACTGGTGCGCACCACCATGCGCGTCTAATTTTTTTTGTATTTTAGTAGAGATGGGTTTTCACCATGTTGGCCAGGATAGTCTCCATTTCCTAACCTCATGATCCTCCTGCCTCGGCCTCCCAAAGTGCTGGGATTACCGGCGTGAGCCACCGTGCCCTGCCTTGAGACTGAGTTTCACTGTTGTTGCCCAGGCTGGAGTGCAATGGCGTGATCTTGACTCACCGAAACCTGCCTCGTGGGTTCAAGCAGTTCTCCTGCCTCAGCCTCCTGAGTAGCTGGGATTACAGGCATGTACCACCATGTCCAGCTAATTTTGAATTTTTAGTAGAGATAGGGTTTCTCCATGTTGGTCAGGCTGGTCTGGAACTCCTGACCTCAAGTGATCTGCCCCCCTCAGCCTCCCAAAGTACTGGGACGACAGGTGTGAGCCACCTTGCCCGGCCTCAAGACGGTCACACTCTTAATTTTCCTCCTCTCTCACTGGTCATCTCCTCTCAATTGACTTTGCTTTTCTCTCTGCTGACCTCTTTCTAGAGATTGGAGTGCCCCAGGATGATAATCTTTTAGGGTCTTCTCTGTCTTCCTGGGTGATCTCATCAAGTCTTATGGCTTTAAATAACCTCCATATGTTTGTTTGTTGATTTATTTTGAGACAGAGTCTCACTCTGTCAAGACTCCCAGGCTGGAGTGCAGTGGTGCAATCTGGGCTCACTGCAACCTCTGCCTCCTGGGTTGAGGAGATTCTCCTCCTTCAGCCTCGTGAGTGAGTAGCTGGGATTACAGGCACCCACCACCACATCTGGCTAATTTTTGTTTTGTGTTTGTTGTTGTTGTTGTTGTTGAGACAGAATTTCACTCTTGTCACCCAGCCTGGAATGCATTGGCACAATCTTGTCTCACTGAAGCCTCTGCCTCCTAGGTTTAAGCAATTCTCCTCCCTCACCCTCCTGAGTAGCTGGGATTACAGGCATCTGCCACCATGTCTGGCTAATTTTTGTATGTTTAGTAGAGACGGGTTTCACCATGTTGGACCAGGCTCATGTCCAACTCGTGACCTCAAATGATCCTCTCGCCTTGGCCTCCCAAAGTGCTGGGATTACAGGCCTGAGCCACCGTGCCAGAGCTCATATGTTTTATAACTACCAAGTTTATATCTCTAGCCCAGATAGCTTTGACCAACTCCAAATTTGTATATGTATAATATAAAACCGCCTGCTTTACACCCACTCCCGTGGGAATTTTTTTATTTTTTGAGACAGGGTCTCACTCTGTCACCAAAGCTGGAGTGTAGTGGTCAGTGACACAATCATGGCTCACTGCAGCCTCGACCTCCCAGGTTCAAGTGATTTTCTTCCTCGGCCTCCTGAGTAGCTGGGACCATGGGCATGTACCACCATGACCAGCTAATTTTTCATTTTTTATAGTGATGAGGTCTCACTATGTTGCCCAGGCTGATTTCAAACTCCTGGACTAACGTGATCCACCCTCCTCAGCCTCTGAAAGTGTTGGGATTACAAGCATGAGCCACTACATCTGGCACCCGTGTGGATTCATATAAACAACCCAACATGTTGAGGACTAAGCCTGCTCCACCACAGTCTTTCCTACTTCAGTTGATGGCAGTTTCATCCCTCTATTATATTTGTTCTGGCCAAAAATCCTGGAGTTATCCTTGTCATTTCTCTCTCATATGCCACATTCAATCCATGAAGATATCCTGTTGGCTCTACTGATATATCCAGAACCTTATATACTTCTCCCACCTTGTCCAAAAGGCCACCATCTCTAGCTTGGATTACTGAAATAGCCTCATAACAGATCATACTGCTTTTATTCTGTCCTTCTACAATCTATTCTCAACACAGCAACCATAGTAACTCTTAAAATAGAAGTGACCTCCACTAGGTCACTTGAATGAATGAGAAACGTTAATTATAATACCTACAGTAGAAAATTATTGTAGGCCAGGAGCAATCGCTTATGCCTGTAATCCCAACACTTTGGGAGGCCGAGGTGGGTGGATCACCTGAGGTCAGGAGTTCAAGACCACCCTGGCTAACATAGTGAAAGCCCATCTCTACTAAAACTACAAAAATCAGTCGGGTGTGGTGGCACACACCTGTGGTCCCAGCTACTCAGGAGTCTGAGGCAGGAGAATTGCTTGAACCCGGGAGGCGGAGGTTGCAGTGAGCTGAGATTGCATCACTGCACTCCAGCCTGAGTGACAGAGTGACACTCTGTTTCAAAAAAAAAAAAGAAAAGAAAAAAGTTATTGTAGGGATTAAATAACTGGCAAAGATCCTGACACAGAATGGATACTGAACAAATGTTAGATCCTTACCACCCTTCTTTCTTCTCCCTTCTCCAAATATCCTCCCACTTGCCTGCTCTTATACCACTGCTCCCTCCTTCCTCTCTGAAATTTTTACCATTCTAGTCTCTCCTTTGAGTTTAAATCTAGGGAAATCCTACAAGTGCCACAGATGTCCTCTGAAAAGAAAGTCTGGGAAATATTTTCTTTCTTTTTCTGTTTTTGAGACAGGATCTCTCTCTGTTGCTCAGGCTGGAGTGCAGTGGCAAAAACATGGCTCACTGCAGGCTCAAACTCCTGGACTCAAGTGATCCTGCTGCCTCAGCCTCCTGAGTAGCTGAGACTTCAGGCATGCACTGCCATGCCCAGCTAAGAGGCCAGCTATATTCATTACCACAACTGTTTATCAAATTAGGATATTGTCACAGAGAAACAGGGATAGCACAGATTTTAAAGATCAAATTTATTGGCTGGGTTTGGTGGCTCACGCCTGTAATCCCAGCACTTTGGGAGGCGGAGGAGGGCGGATCACAGGTCAGGAGTTCGAGACCAGCCTCGTCAACATAATGAAACCCTGTCTCTACTAAAAATACAAGAAATTAGCTGGGTGTGATGGTGGATGCCTGTATCCCAGCTACTCAGGAGGCTGAGGCAGGAGAATCGCTTGAACCCAGGAGGCAGAGGTTGTAGTGAGCCAAGATCACACCCCTGCATTCCAGCCTAAGTGACAGAGAGAGACAAAAAAAAAAAAAAAAGGAAAAAAACCCCCACTTTATTGAAGTGTAATTTACATGCAAATTTTATGTGTATTCTTTGATGAGTTTTGACAAATGTTTGGGTAATTTTATTTGTGTTGGAGGCAGTAATGTCTCCTGGGATTATGCAGGTCCAGGCATTTAACAGAGGGATCCTGGTTAGGAAACAGGACAACATCAGGGCTCTGGGAAACATAATCAAACAGGAACAAGTGGAGACACCAAGGGCTGGCCCGAGGTTAGTCCTGGGATCTCACTGCACCAGGATCCGGCCCTCTGGAATGCCTGGCGACTTCATGGCAGCTTCCGGCCCTCCTCAGGGAGCGGTCTCACCACTCTGATGTGTGTTTAGGCCACGAGGTGAGAGCTAGGGCTGGGTTCTGGCTCTACGCCCTGCAACTTTCCTGCCACTACTCGCGCCTGTATCCCTGCCCAACAATAGGGGGCGCTCCAGTCGGTGATAGCCAACTTCCACCGGAGCCACCACAACCGCACCGCCCGATTGCCTCTCCAGCCTGTTAGAAACCGGTTTCAGATCCGCGGTAGAACCGCGGGCGGGAAAAAGTCAAAGCGCTGTCTAGGGTTCCCCTTCGGGTCCGCCATCCTCTGGTCTCCCTGGTCTCCCAGGCTCTGGGCTGACTAGGCGCGGACAGCTGAGCCCGCCTTTCAACCAGGCCCTTTCTCCCGCCCCTCTGCAGCTGAAACCCTCAAGAGGTTGCAGGTTCAGCTTTGACTTATAGAGACTACAACTCCAAATTCAGAGTCGCTGGGGAAACTGAGGCAGGACTGGGGACTCTGGGTGAGAGGTCAGGCGCTGGTCGCGGACTCTTTCTTCCGAGAGCTGAGACGGCTCTTCTGATAGCCCAAAGCTATTAATGCCGATCCTAGAAGAAAGCGCAGAGGTCCGGGCGGCTGGCCGGGGAGAGCGGCTGGGAAACCTCAGGGTGGCGCTGGCTGGAGGTGGGGCCGGGGGCGGGTTCCTGGCGGAGGGCGGGGCAGACATGGGCTACCGGGTGTGCCAGCCAAGCCCGGCACAGAGGAGGTGGTGGTGGTGGCCCTCGCCTGTGGCCCAGGTGCTGCTTGCGCTCGAACTCGCCGCCATGGAGGAGTTCCAGGAGCCTCTGAGTGGGCAGCTCCGGCTCTGCTTCTCGCCTGCGGCCCGGACCAGCCTCTTGCTGCTCAGGCTCAACGACGCTGCGCTGCGGGCGCTGCAAGAGTGTCAGCAGCAACAGGTACGGCCGATCCCCTTCTTCTCTAGTCCCTGCCTCTGGGGACTTTGGGCCTCAGCCAGCTACCCTGGAGAAGGTGCAGGGGAGAGGGAGCGGCGTCCGCAAACTCTGGCCTCTCCAGCTCTCCAAGTGAAGCCCGCTAGGCAGGTGACCCCAGGCTTCGGACCCCGGATCCCGGGGACACCGCTTCACCTGACCTCAATAGTCACATCTTCGCTCTCCCCGCAGGTACGGCCGCTGATTGCTTTCCAAGGCCACCGAGGGGTAAGTGCTGGCCCAGGGTGTGTGAGCGAGGTGGGGGAGAGGGAGCACAAACGTGGGCTGGAGGTGAAAGGTGTGGTCGGGGCCGGAGGCTGCGAGTGGTAGTCTGAGGTAGTTCCGAGAATTGAACCCCAAGTGGGGCGAGGAGGCTGCTGGGGTTGTCCCAGGGGGTTGTGGTTGAAGGGACTGTGCCGTTTCAGCCTCCTGGGGAACTCAGGCCCAGCTGCACCTGGTGTGCTAACGAGCCCCGTGGGACCCGTCTTAGTCTTAGGCCGGCTCCGGGACGAGAGGCGGCGGCAGGAGGGGGAGGGGCTGACTTCACGGGGCTTACCGTCTCCTTCCACCTCCAGTATCTGAGGCTCCCAGGCCCTGGCTGGTCCTGCCTCTTCTCCTTCATAGTGTCCCAGTGTGGCCAGGAGGGCGCTGGTGGTAGCTTGGACCTTGTGTGCCAACGCTTGGTCAGGTAAGGGGGAACAATAGGTAGCAGGCAAGAAGAGGTTTGTGGAAAGTGTGGGAGGGAAATGTGGAGAGGTACTTAAAAGCTCACCACCCTCCTGTTTTTTTTTCCACCATCCCTTTCCAGGTCTGGGCCTAACCGCCTTCACTGCATGGGCTCACTCAGGGAGCGCCTCACTATTTGGGCAGCCATGAATTCTATCCCAGCCCCATTATCTGTTCAGGGACACAACCTGACTGAAGATGCCAGACATCCTGAGAGCTGGCAGAACACAGGAGACTATTCTGAAGGACATGCAATATCACAGCCACAGATGGCGCTAGAGGAGGTAAGGCCAGAAACTGCAGGGAGTTTCCATACGGTGGGGCAAAGCCTGAAGTCCAAGGTATCCCAGTACTCCAGGGAACCAAGTGCTCCTGTCACTTTCCGCACCAGGTGTCTATGTCAGATCCACTGGCAAGCAACCAAGGACAGTCACTCCCAGGATCCTCAAGGGAGCACATGGCACAGTGGGAAGTGAGGTACTTTGGATGGGGTGGGACTAACATGGGAAGCTTTCGCATTGTCTTCCTTTCTAATCTCCACTCTTAAATGTTGTCTTAATAAAAGATCCAGTGCCACCTCCCACCCTGATTTTCTTCTATCCCATTCCCTTTAAATATCCTAGAAACCAGACCTATCTTCCAAACAGAGAACCTGATCAGGCACTGCCTTCCTCTACCAGCCGGAAACGTCTGGAGAAGGTAAGTTATAATGACAAGGGCTTTTCTTTTCTTTTTGAGACAGAGTCTTGTTCTGTCACCAGGCTGGAGTGCAGTGGTGTGATCTTGGCTCACTGCAACCTCTGCCTCCCAGGTTCAAGCGATTCTCCTGCCTCAGCCTCCAGAGTAGCTGGGACTACAGGTGCTTTCAGTATGCCCAGCTAACTTGTTTATTTTTAGTAGAGACAGGGTTTCAGCATGTTGGCCAGGTTAGTCTCAATTTCTTGACCTTAGGATCCGCCGGCCTTGGCCTCCAAAGTGCTGGGATTGCAGGAGTGAGCCACCATACCTGGCGCTGGCTTTTCTTTTTTTGTAACACTGATATAATAAAACAATGGCAAGGACTATTTTGAAGAGCAGTTTTAGTCAAGCCAAAATTTAGAAATTGGAAGCTCCTTATATGGGAAGAGTTTTTTTTTCTAGACGGAGTCTCACTCTGTTGCCAGGTTGGAGTGCAGTGGCGCAATCTCAGCTCACTGCAACCTCTGCCTCCAGGTTCAAATGATTCTCGTGCCTCAGCCTCCCAAGTAGCTGGGATTACAGGCACATGCCACCATGCCCAGCTCATTTCTGTATTTTTTGTTTTTTGAGATGGAGTTTCGCTCCTGTTGCCCAGGCTGGAATGCAATGGTGACCTCGGGTCACCACAACCTCTGCCTCCCGGGTTCAAGCGATTCTCCTACCTCAGACTCCTGAGTAGCTGGGATTACGGGCGTGTGCCACCATGCCTGGCTAATTTTTTGTATTTTTGGTAGAGACGGGGTTTCACTGTGTTGGCCAGGATGGTCTCAATCTCCTGACCTCATGATCCGCCTGCTTCAGCCTCCCAAAGTGCTGGGATTACAGGTGTGAGCCACTGCGCCTGGCCTAATTTCTGTATTTTTAGTAGAGACGGGGTTTAACCATGTTGGTCAGAATGGTCTTGATTTCTTTACCTTGTGATCTGCCCGCCTTAGCCTTCTAAAGTGCTAGGATTACAGGTTTGAGCCACCACACTGGCTATGGGAGGAATTTTTTTAGAGACAAGGTTTCTCTGTTCCCTGGGCTGGAGACTCCTGGGCTCAAGCCATCCTATATAGATTTTTTTCTTAGACAGTCTTACTCTGTCGCCCAGGCTGGAGTGTTGTGGTGTGATCGTGACTCACCACAGCCTTGAACTCCTGGGCTCAAGTGATTCTCCCTCTTCAGCTGGTGTGTGCCACTACACAAGGCTAATTGTTTTATTTTTTTTGTAGAGACAGGGTCTCACTATATTACCTAGTCTTGAAATTTTGGGCTCAAGCGATCCCCCCAACTCAGCCTCTGAAAGGGTTGAGATTACAGGTCTTAGCCACTGTGCCCAGCCTAGGAGGAATTTTGGAGAGGACATATTTAGAAGCTCTTGGCTGTTTATGTCACAGATATTTTCCTCAACAGAAACGTTCAGTGCCTGTAGCCACTGTAGAACTAGAAGAAAAGAGGTTCAGAACTCTGCCTCTAGTGCCAAATCCCCTACAAGGCCGGAGCCATCAGGATTTACAAAAGGGAGAAGACTGGGAGCAAGAAGATGAAGATAAGGACATGGACCTCAGATTAGAACACAGATCCTCAGTTCAAGAAGGTGAGTTAATGGGAGGAGGCTAAAAATGCCAGTGGAAAAAGACTTATAATCACTTGTGTTTTCTTGCTTCCTTCCTAGACTCTGGATCCCCAGGTCCTGAAGATGTACCAGACTACCTTCTGTGAGTTCCCTGCTTTTTCTAATTTCATCAAGCCTTGTGCATATATTAAGATACACTTCCTGGAATCTGGGAGCTTTTCAGGGGCAATGAAATTGAAGGTGACACCTCTCTTCTCCTGGCAGGCAATACAGGGCCATCCACAGTGCAGAACAGCAACATGCCTATGAGCAGGAATTTGAGACAGATTATGCTGAATACCGCATCCTGCATGCCCGTGTTGGTGCTGCAAGCCAAAGGTTCATAGAGCTGGGAGCAGAGATTAAGAGAGTTCAGCAAGGAACTCCGGAACACAAGGTAAGGACAGGATCCAGCCTGGCTTTTCAGCTCTACTGGCCATTAACCCCCTGTTAACCACCCATATACCTGGGTTTGTACAGTGACTAAGCAAAGTGACAAGAAAACCTGTTTGAGGGAAAAAATTAGTCTGTTATCATTTGTTAGAATAAGGGAAGTTACTTCCCCCTAACTTTTTTTTGGGACAGTCTAGCTCTGTCACTGAGGCTTGTGTGCAGTGGCACGAGCTCGGCTTACTGCAACCTTCATCTCCTAGGCTAAAGCTATTCTCATGCCTCCACTTTCCAAATAGCTGAGATTATAGGTATATGCCACCATGCTGAGCTAGTTTTCGTATTTTTAGTAGAGACGAGGTTTTACTATGTTGGCCAGGGTGGTCTCGAACTCCTGACCTTAAGTGATCCACCCACCTCAGCCTCCCAAAATGCTGGGATTATAGGTATGACCCACTGTGCCCGGCCCCTTTCTTATTTCTTTTTTTTTTTGAGACGGAGTTTCGCTTGTTACCCAGGCTGGAATGCAATGGCGCGATCTCGGCTCACTGCAACCTCTGTCTCCCAGGTTCAAGTGATCCTCCTGCCTCAGCCTCTTGAGTAGCTGGGATTACAGGCACGCGCCACCATGCCCAGCTAATTTTTTGTATTTTTAGCAGAGACGGGGTTTCACCATGTTGACCAGGATGGTCTCGATCTCTTGACCTCGTGATCCACCCGCCTCAGCCTCCCAAAGTGCTGGGATTACAGGCGTGAGCCACCGCACCCGGCCCTTTCTTATTTCTTAATGTTAAATTCAGTGCTAGTATTTTCTGTTTCAGGTGCTGGAAGAGAAGATAGTCCAGGAATATAAAAAGTTCAGGAAGGTAAGACAAGATCTGGGAATGAAAGTAAGAAGGTAGAAATGAGGATTTTTACTTTTTGACATGGATGCTTTTTCTCCGCAGCGGTACCCAGGTTACAGAGAAGAAAAGCGTCGTTGTGAGTACCTTCACCAGAAATTGTCCCACATTAAAGGTCTCATCCTGGAGTTTGAGGAAAAGAACAGGGGCAGTTGAAGTTATCAAGAGGGCTCTTGACCCTCTGCTTAGTGAAACATGAAGGAACAAAGCAGCTATAAACTAAATAGAATGCAGCTATCTCTTTTTCTTATGCTGACCACTGGAGTCCAGGTGGCAAGTGGAGAGTTGCTCTAGGTTCTTGAGGTTTGGTTTTCATTGTTGCTAATTTTTAGGGTGTGGGCACTATGCAAAGACTCCATAGCTGTTGTGCTCAGGAGTCTAGAAAAAGTGACAGAGGCTTGGCTTCTTCACTTTTAGTTCAGCCAAGTCATTTTCAAGTCCTGAGAAATGACATCATCTTCAGGATAAGATAATGAGGACATTAGGCAAATTAAGTTAATTTAGCCCGGTAGCCTCTCTAAGGAAACAATAATGACAACTTTTGCTAAGAGCTAAAATAACTTGTAGCATACCTGGATATAATGGGAAGGGGCCTGGGTCTTAGCCATGTACTGAATTTTTTTACCAACATGGCTAAAAAATTAAAACTGATTGCTTCTGTGTTCTTTGTACAAGTTTATATATTTTCCTTAAATCTTCCAAGGCAGTTGGTCCATAATACTGGCTTTACATCTGAGCCACTTTTGGGCTATCTAAATAATTAGATCCCCGTGCCCCAGCCCAGATGTTATGAGTTAGAATCTCGAAGATTATGGTTTAGACATCTTTTACTTTTTCCAAGCTCTGTGTGTGACCAAGATATGTATTTTGCTGTAAGGCTCTACCGAATTCATCTTAAAACTGACAGCTAAATATTCTAATTATATAGTAGGAAGAAAGTTCTTTTCTGAACATAGGTGTTTGTAGGATCACCTAAAGTAAGGCTCCTATCTGGAATTATCCAGTGGCTGAAAACAGTAACTGCGCAGGATTTGAGTTTACCTACAAAAGGAGAGAAATGGTTTATTTGGACAAAAGATCATTCTCCAATCCTATCCTTTCTGTTCCTTATTGTTACAAATGAAAGTGGATGCTTCACTCTTAACTAGGAACGATACTGCCTTTCCCAGTTCTACTGGAGAGGGAAATTAAAGGGCCACACCTTAGGCTTTGGAGGGTAGAGCTGCACCCAGCAGTGTCAGCAATTCCTGAAACAACTTGGATGGAACCCCATGATGCCACACCCATAACAGGATATTTCTGGGCAGAGAACAGTCCTTGGGAGGTATAAACATGCAGTAAGCTCAGCTGCATGGCAAGGATAAACAGGAACCCATCCTTAGGGCATGGACAGCCTAACAAGAAAGGCCCTTCACCTGTTCTAAACACCAGGGTAGGCCTGGGCAATAAACATGTAAGGAGAGAAAGAGATGATACATTTGGAAAGAATTTTGAATTGATTAATTATGGATCCAGTCAAGTCAGTCTACAGCTGCAGTGACCAGTACAGTAGCAACTCTATGGCTATTTAAATAAATGAAAACTAAAAAGGGGCTAGGCGCGGTGGCTTATGCCTGTAATCCCAGCACTTTGGGAGGCTGAGGCAGGTGGGTCACGAGATCAACAATTCGAGACCAGACTGACCAACATGGTGAAACCCCATCTCTAAAGAAATACATAAAAAATAAAAAATGTAGTTTCTAGCCATATTTCAGATGCTCCGTAGCTACCATTGAACAGTGTAGATAACATTTCCATCACTGAAGAAAGCTCTATTGGAGTGATAGTGTGTAGAGAACCTCTGGTTCTCAATCTTGTGGAAAATAAGACAGTTTAAAGGGGTCTCATTTATTGTCACTGTTCCAAATGTACAAAAAAAATTAGAAAATACCCCCCAACTCAATTCCCCCCACCCCACAACGTTCCCCTCAACACAAATAATTTTTCCCAAAACCACAAACATAAACTGGTCCTGGTGTTTCCATAAACAGTGCAGCTAAGAAACAGTTTAGAGAAAATTTAACAGGATTCAGATTATATCCATTCTGTCCTCTCAGCCCTGAGAGGTAATAATTCCCATATGGGTCCCAGTCCTCCCCAATGGTTTTCCTATCTCTGGTGGAAGAGTCCTTTTACAAAGTGGTGTTTGACTACTGCTTTAGAGATCCTCCTGTGCCTTCTTCTTCTTCTTGGGCTTTTCTTCTTGAATTACAGGGGGGTTTGTAGCTTCTCGTTGTAAATAGCTAATAAAATCACTTAATTCACGGCCACCCTGAAAACAGAAAGATTACCTTAAAAATGTAACTTTTTAAAGAACCCCAATCTGCCCCACCCAAACAGGAAGACTTCTGAGTTTATAAAAGCACATTAGTACCCACCTATACTCACCATTAGAGTTTAAAGAGTTTTCAGTTAAATAAACCCAATTAAAGAACTGACTATGCTTAAGAGTGTGTGTTTATGTCATGTGTACGTTTGTGGGGATATGGGACAATTCACTTACTTCGTATTTCTTTGGATTTAGCTTCTTGTTGGCTGGAGAGAAGTATATGGTAGGAAAACTGGGGAAAGAAACATTTATTAATTTCAAGGAGTCACGTGGGCCCATGCTGCAAAACTCTTAAGCCAAGAAGGAATCAGTGGTTCTGCCTTCAACTGGAATATGAAGACCTCCCCCAAAACCATGTCTTGTAAAGAAATAGTTTCCTGGTGGTTACAAGCTTTATTCCTATCAATTGCCTGGATATGTTTGTTAGTTTTTAATCCACTTACCCTCTGACTTCATATGGAGAAGGCACATCATTGGCTGTGGCATCCATCTTGGCTATGACGATATTTGGGTCTTTGCTGAGCTGTTAATAAAATAGGTTAAATGTTTAAATTCCAAGTTTTCAGTGACTGAGGGACACTTAGTCAATTCAAGACTTAATCTCATTCTTCAAACACCCAGATAAACTGCTGTTCACGTGGGAAGAGTGGTTTGCAGATAGTAGTACCTCACTTTGCACAAACTTCCCTTTTTTCTCTTGTACTAAGACTCTACATATTGCCACCTTCAAATTTACCTTGTCTGAATAAGACATTACAAAGACTAAGCCAAATGTTTTAAGATGAAGGACCATATGGATTCATGTAAGCCATTACCAAAATTCAGAAGTTCTTAGATATTTTTAACCATAATCTACATTGAGCCTGAGGAATGGAATGTTAAAAGTGCGTATCTCAGGCGCCGCACAGGCTGGAGCAGTAGGGGGCAGTCAAAGAAAGCGAGTAAACTGTAATTTTGGAAAAAAAATCTATCAGTACTTAGGAACTAAGCAAATTAGCCAATGCTGAATACATACATAAACTTAGGCTCCCGCTCAAATGTTATCCTCAGAATAGGGTTCACACTTACCTTCTCTCCAAGTTCTTTATACTTAGGCTCCAGATTCTTACAGTGACCACACCAAGGGGCATAAAATTCAATCAGCACATCTTTATCTTCATTATTCACTATTTCATCAAAATTCTCTGCTACCACTACCTAGAAAACACAGGAGAATCTCTGGTTGGTAAGGTAACATTAAAAAAATAAATTCACAAGTTGTATTTGTTCCTAGACCCAATCCCTCTCTAATTTGATGTGTTATCATAGAAAGTAACTCATGGAAACCCAAATCACATTTACAGATTAAAGATGTTGCCATTCACTATAGATACCGACTTGCTCCTATGTCTGTCGCCTATCAAACTATGTTCAGGAAGTTACAGGACACAAAAGTGCTACCCAACCGTTCCTTAAAATAATTTCAAGCCAGGCTCGGTAGCACATGCCTGCAGTCCAAGCTATTCAGAAGGCTGAGTCTACATAGTAAGACCGCATCTCTATAAAAAACATTCAGAGCAATACACTGTTCTTAGGGGTTGCTCTATCCTCATAAGTTAGCCCAATATAAATTTCATCAGAAAATTCTATGCAGGCTTTATACACTTGCCCTTACCAAGCATTTTGAGTCCTGCCAGTGCTTATTTTATGACTCAGGGAATGAGGACAAAAAAAAAAAAAAAAGAGAGAGAAAGTGAGAGGCAATTGCTCATAGCTTGATAAGGTTGTGAGCACCTCACCTTTACAGGACCATCATTGCTCTCTGGGATAGGTTCAGACTTAAGGTATCTCTTCAGATTGCCATCAAAGTAATCCTGCAGGAACCTCTCCAGAGCCTTGCCATCACGCCTGCAATTGGAAAACAAAGGTCAGGCTGGTTAATTTACTCCTACCACTGAGAAGACTAAAAGCAATTTCTTTGAACAGTTACTATGTATTTTAGTTTTAATTTCAAGGCAAAAAAAGGAAAATACTTATCTCTCAATATGCAGAACTGACTGAACAAACAAACTGTAACTTTTGTTTCTAGTGTGTTCTTTGTGGGTTATAAAGTTCAGAGAAAGAAGAATCATTGTCTTTTGGAGGTTGATTTTTGTAAAAGAACCAGATCCTATTGCTCTGGAGTATAGTGTGTGTTTACAGTATTTTCTTTTATAACTGGCTCACAAGGAAGATTTTCTCTTGTCTCAATCTCCCAAAATCTCAGAAAGTGAGGATAAAAATTGTTTCTGGAGCCTTAAGGTCTTCCTGATCCTGAACTTACTTTAGACCCATGTAGTATTTTTTTTTTTTTTTTTTAAAGATGGCGTTTCACCATGTTGGTCAGGCTGGTCTTGAACTCCCAACCTCAGGTGATCTCCCTCCTTGGCCTCCAAAGTGCTTGGATTACAGGTGTGAGCCACCATGCCCGGCCCACCCATGTAGGTTTTTTTTTTTTTTTTTTTTTTTTTAGTTTGAGACGGAGTTTCACTCTAGTTGCCCAGGCTGGAGTGCAATGGCACGATCTTGGCTCACCGCAACCTCCGCCTCCTGGGCTCAGGCAATTCTCCTGCCTCAGCCTCCTGAGTAGCTGGGATTACAGGCACGCACCACCATGCCCAGCTGATTTTTTGTATTTTTAGTAGAGACGGGGTTTCACCATGTTGACCAGGATGGTCTCGATCTCTTGACCTCGTGATGCACCCGCCTCGGCCTCCCAAAGTGCTGGGATTACAGGCGTGAGCCACCGCGCCCGGCCCATGTAGTATTTCAAAAAGAAAAGACATTCTGTAGGGATGAGGGGGAAAATGGTTTGGTTTCAAATTATATCAGTAACAAGGAGGTTTTCCAATCTTTTCTTCGATTTTTAAATTTTTTATAGATATGGGGTCTTGCTATGTTGCCCAGGCTGGCCTTGAACTCATGGGCTCAAATTATCTTCCTGCCTTAGCCTCCCAAAGTGCTGGGATTACAGATGTGAGCCATCATGCCTGGCTCAAAGGAGGCTGTCCAATCGTCTTTCTTTTCTTTCCCTTCCACCCTCCCTCCCTTCCTTCTTCCTTTCCTTCTTTTTTTTTTTTTTTTTTGAGACAGAGTCTTGCTCTGTCACCCAGGCTGGAGAACAGTGGCATGGTCTCAGCTCACTGCAATCTCTGCCTCCTGGGTTCAAGTGATTCTCCTGCCTCAGCCTCCCTAGTAACTGGAATTACAGGTGCACACCACCACACCCAGCTAATTTTTGTATTTTTTTTTTTTTTTTTTGAGACAGAGTCTTGCTCTGTCA